TGATCCCGGTGGGATGCCGGGTGGTGCCGGAGAGGGGTTTTTCCCCTCCTTTCCTTTGGGGCAGCAGGACTCTGTCCTCTGGTTTTGTCCTTCACACCATCCTGGGAGGGGAACAAATGAGTCTGTCAAAGATCAGTGGTTGGGTTTTGACTTAAAATGGAAAAAAAGCCAAAGCTAAATGTTGTCCACAGCAAAAACGTCAAGTGGTTTTGAAGGTTAAAAATGTTAAAAGCAGGCAGGAGCAGATTGTGCTGGGTGATGAAAAGCAGCCCAGGGACTGTGGGAAATGCCCTGTGCCCCCTCTCCTTCCAGACTCGGCAGTTCCCAGCTCTGAAATCAGGTCCTGATCCCCTCCCGTGCTCCCTGGGGGGCAGTGGGGCTCACGCAGGGGCCTGATCCTGCAGCCGAGGAGGGTGCAGAGCACAGAGCTGCTCCTCGTCCTGCCCTGAATCCCTGAATCCTGGGGGGATTCAGCCCACGGTCCCCCGAGGGTGCAGAGCTCCGCCGGGGTGCCAGAGCTGCTCAGCAGAGAAAACGGGGGTGGGGCAAGTCTCTGGGCTTCAGCCTGTCCTCCAAATACCTCTGGGCTTCAGGCTGTGCCCCTCTGGGGCTGAAAGATCCCGGGGGTATTGCCAGAGGGGAAGAAAACAAGGAGAATTGGGGGATAAACTACCTGGGGAAATCATTCTCACAGTCAGCCCAGCAGCTGGCTGCTTTATCGGGTGTATTTTGACCCTCCTCCTGAAGGCAGCTTGTTTAATTGATGCTATTAATGAGCGAATACCTGCTTTATTTTCTGTTTTGACATTCAGGCTTTGCATCATGTTAGGGAGTGTGGCCACTTGGCTTCTCTCTGGGAGGAAGTCCCTTTTTTGCTGAAGGTGGACGGACGAGCTCCCGGGAGGCAGCCGCCGGGTGAGTCATTTTTGGGCAGAAATAGCTCTGCTGGGAGCTGAGACAGGGTCCCCCAGGGATTTCCAGCCCCAGGGATTTCCATCTTCCAGGGATTTCCATCTTCCAGGGATTTCCAGCCCCAGGTATTTCCATCTTCCAGGGATTTCCATCCCCCTGGGATTTCCAGCCCCCAGGGATTTCAGGCTTGCAGGGATTTCTCTTCTCCTACCCAGGATGGAGCCGACTGCGGTGTCCCCACGGCCACCAACAGCTCCTGGCTGGATTTAAGGGGGTAATTTAGAGCTGGGAGAGTGGCTGAGTGTTGTTTCCTCATCTCCACACCCCTCCTGTGTGGGGCAGAGGGAGGGTTTGAGGTGGCTGCTGCCAGACCCTGCTCAGCTTTAGCTGGAGAGGATGAGTCCTGGGCTCTCAAATTCGCTCCTAATGCTGGTATCTCCCTTTTCTTTATCTCAAGGGGAAAACAGCACATGGGGGAAGGATGGAATTGACCCAACAGCCCCCCAGAAGTTGGTGCTGAGAAGTCCCATCCTGGACGTTTAGTCACTAAATAACACTGGCTTAGGTTTCTCATTTTCCTGCATCAAAGCACTGCCCGTTTGGCTGTGATCAGTCGCGGTGTGAGGGGTGGCAGAGAGCAGAAGGTGGCTCCTGCAGCAGCGTGGCAGGGATGCCCCAACCCCTGCAGGCAGATGGGGGCACCAGTTGTCCAAGCTGACCTCAGGGATTGTCCTTTTCCTTAGAAATTCCACAGGACAGGGGCTGGTGGCCTCTCTCCTCCCCCACAGCCCTTCACGGCTGCCATCTGGGAGGGGTTCTGTGTGGCAGTGGTGGCACCACCAGGGCTACCTGGCACAAGGAGCTGTGGTAGAGCAACAGGTTTTGTTTTCCAGCTCTTGGGAGCGGCTGGATTTATCCCTGCTGGGGCTGTTGGGGGAGCAAAGGGACAGCAGGGAGGTGGGGAGGGAGGGTGAGAGCTGCAGGGAGCCCCCCCCGAGGATAAATTAACCTGAGACTGAGGTGGACAGTGCTGCCTCTGACCTCCTGCTGGTCAGCTCTCACAGGAGGCAGGGCTCAAATAAGCCAAAAGAGACCCCACTGGCTCTTCCCCAGCTCATGGGTCAGGGTTTTATGTATGTAGCAGAACATTCATTCAGGAGAGGGGGCTAAAGGGAGGGTGTTTGGGGAACCTCAGCTGGAAAGCACTCCAGGGACCATGGATTGCCTGGAGGTGGCTGTTTGGGTCCCAGACGTGTGCTGTCGGCCTTTCCTGCCCTGCACCAGCCAAAAACCTTGGACCCAGAAGAGCTTTTTTGGGGTGGGTCAGCTCCTTGTGTCCACATCACCCCTTACAGCTGCCCACAGTGGTGTCCGTGGGGTGAACCAACCATTCCAGGCTCGTTCCCTGTGTTGGTACCACAAAGTCTCCTTAAGGCTTGGATCCAAATTATCTTCTCACTGCTGGCAGCTCTTTAGTTCTAGTGACAAAAATGACAATTACTCTTTCATGTTTCAACTTTTTTTCCCCATTTCTCTTGGTTTGGACCTGAAAATCACCGTGGCTGATCCCACCCCTGGGCTGGCTGTGGCATTATTGGGCTTTGAATGATGCCTGTAAATAAACATCAGCTTTTAATGACTGCTTCTACAAAGAAAGAACCTTTCATTGAAGGTTTCACCAAAAAAAAACAACCACTTTTGGGAGCTTCCAGCACAAGATTTAATTTTGAGTGCCCGCTTCCCTTTGCAGCGTGGGTTATTATTTTAGCAGGGGTATGAATCACCTTTGTGCCCAAAATACTTTGATGCTGGGCTTCAAACCAACCCAACCCCAGGTCACCTTCAGCTGAAAAACTCTTCCTGTTGCCACACTGATGACAAAAAAATCATGGAAATCCTCCTAGCCCCAGCTAAGCTACTGGTGCCCAGTTACTATTTCTCCTGTCCCAGTGTCTCGTTCCTCCTGCTAACCCTCTGGCTGAGTCTCCAGCTGGGTTTGGCTGCGAGGTTGGGGTTTTTTTGAGGTTTCTCATCGCTCTGCTTTCATCACTGTGGGCCACAAGAGGTCGGTAAAATTCAGGAGAAGTAACCTGGGCTGAGGCTTCGCCCCGGGGCAGGGCTGGCACATCCTCGGCGGAGCTGCCTGGGCACCCGCTTTCACTCCAGGTTAATTAATCCGTGAAAAGCAACACCCCAAATTAATTATGTTGGAAGAAAACCAGGGCAGTTTTGGAAGGGGCCGGGTGTTGCCGGGGTTTATTGCTGTCCTGTCGGCCCTGTTCACGTGCCAGGGGAGTTAAGAAGGATCAGAAGCATTGAACAGGCTCTGCCCACTCACCCCCTTCTCCAGAGACTCCTTTAATTCCTCTCTTCCTGGCACAAAGGGTCCTGAGCTTGGGAGTTTGCTGCAGGACGTGGAGCTGTGGCTTGGCCGTGACATTTGGGGCCGTGCCTGGAGGAGGCAGCTGAGGGAAAAAACCAAACCATTAACCAAACTGCCCCTTTTTTTTGTGGTTTGCAGGCAGGAGAGCAGTGTGGTGAGCCCCAAGTGCTGCCTTCAGCACCAGGCTGCCCACAGAGGGATGGTCTTAAAATGAAAAGGTGCTGTGAGGGCGTCGGGCTGCCATGCCTGTTTAAGGTCAGTGCTGTCCTCGCCCCCCTGGTCCTCTCTGAATGGGGTTGACCCTTCTCTTTTTTAGGGGTAGGGACCAGGGATTGGGTCCCCATCCTGCAAACCCCTGGCTGGGTGCTGCACGGGAGCGGGTGCTGCTGGGGCTTTAGCCAAAGGGAGGGGGTGGGCAGCAGGAGGTTGGGATGGGGCTCACCAGCTTCACACCTCGTCGGCAAAGTGGGGCTCCTTTGGGTTTAGAGCAGGGCAGGAGGTGGCTCTGAGTTGATCTCGGGCTTTTTGGGGAGCCTGTGGTGCCTCCAGAGCCTGGCCCAGCACAGAACTGCATCCGGGTGATGCAGCAAAGAGCCACCTGCCGAATGGGCTCCTGTGCTGGGAAGAGCCAGGCTTGTCCTGGCAGCAGGAGGGGTCTGTGGGGACACAGAGGTGTCCCCTTCTCAGAGGTGGGACAGGAGCAGGTTGGGGAGTAACCCCCCCCAGCTCCGAGCACCTTCCCTGCCCTGCTGTCCCTGTGTCCCTTGGGAGGACGCTCGGCCCAGTGACCTCCTTGACGGCAGGAACAGGATTAGCAGTGACAAACTGATCTCTTTATAGGCAGGATAAACGCCTTAGGGCCAGGGCTGAGGGATGTCAGAGGGGGATTAGCCCCCCTACACCCAGCCCAGCTCAGCTCATCAGCCACCCGGGGGGCAAGGTAGCCAAGGAGCATCTCTCTGTGGGGCCACCAACCTCCTGCTGGGGTTGCCACCGTCCCCGTGGCGGGGTGCTGACGAGGGGCTGTCCTGCAGGGCGTTGGTATGGCCAGGCCCAGGGCTCCCAGGTACCTCCTGGTCTTCGATTTCGACGAGACCATCATCGAGGAGAACAGCGACGAGTCGGTGGTGAGGACGGCCCCGGGCCAGGAGCTCCCCGAGCACATCCGCCAGACCTTCCGCCAGGGCTTCTACAACGAGTACATGCAGCGTGTCCTGGCCTACCTGGGCGACCAGGGCGTCAAGATGGGCGACTTCAAAGCCGTCTATGAGAACATCCCCCTGTCCCCCGGCATGCAGGACCTCTTCCAGTTCCTCTCCAAGAACCACGAGCTCTTCGAGATCATCCTCATCTCGGACGCCAACATGTTCGGCGTCGAGTGCAGGCTGAGGGCGGCCGGTGTCCACTCCCTCTTCCGCAAGGTCTTCAGCAACCCGTCCAGCTTTGACAAGAGGGGTTACTTCACCCTGGGGCCCTATCACAGCCACAAGTGCCTTGACTGCCCGGCCAACATGTGCAAACGTAAAATCCTCACCGAGTACCTGGCGGAGCGAGCTCAGGAGGAGGTGGAGTTCGAGAGGGTCTTCTACGTGGGAGATGGTGCCAATGACTTCTGCCCGTCCGTGGCTTTGACTGCAGCTGACGTGGCGTTCCCCCGCAAGGGCTACCCCATGCACCGTATGACCCAGGACATGGAGAAGAAGCAGCCTGGAGCCTTCCAGGCCACTGTCATCCCCTGGGAGTCAGCCGTAGAGGTCGCCCGCTATCTCCAGGAGGTCCTCAAGAAGAAGTGTTGAGGATGGCTCGGAAGAGACTTGCTGTGAGCGGCTGGGAAGGGAGAAGCTCGGGGAGGGGTCACGTCCTGGACTGCTGGCACTGCTCCTCCAGCTCCCCCTCCTGGGCTGCTTCCCTGCCTGGCCTCTCCCAGCTCCCTCCACCTCGGCGACTCAAGCACTTTCTCTAGGTCCCCCCACCTCCTTCCCCTGCCGTGTTGAGATGAAGCCTTCTCTATGCAGCTCGGACACCTGCCCAGCCAACGCTGGGTCTCTGCCAACACTAATGGTGATTTTTTGGTTGTCGTTGTGGGGTTTTCTCTCCTTTCCCTTCTGACTTGACAAGAGCAGCTCCCGAAGGACCAGCAGCCGGCTCCCCAGGGGCTGGGCCCTGCACATGCTTCCTCCTTCCTCCTCCTCCTCGCCCGCCCGACCTCCACGGCCACGCCAGGAGCCACGTGCTGTTGCCTTGAACCTGATGCTCCAGGGCTCCTTTGCCTTTTTGGGAGCCTGCTGGGAATTTACCCTGGGAAATTGGTGCTGCCCGGGCTCCCCTCTGCCCCCTGCCTGGGCAGGGCAGCCCCAGGCTCAGCTGCTGAGCCTTGTGGTGGAGTCAATTGTCCCTTGAGACTTTATTAGCTGAAAAAACCAGGACATGAGGGGCAGGAAACCCTTTGGAAAGGTGATACCTTGGGAAAAACCCTCCTCTAGCCCATCCCCACCCACTTTGCCAAGGCACAGCAACCACATCCCTCTGCAGGGAGCAGGACCTGCCCTCACCTTCCTCCTCCATCCTCTGCTCCTGCTTCCAGGGCAGAGAGGTTCCTCCTCACCCCCAGCCATGACCAGTCATCTCCTCGTGTTTCCCAGACCTGGAGTCCCCTCACACCCCAGGGGTGGGAGGAATCTGCCCCTCCCTGAGCTGCTGGAGAGGTGCTGAACCTCCCCAGGGAGGTGTGGTGCTCTAGCTCTTCTCCTGGCATCAGATCCCCAGCGGCCAAACCCCTTCCCACATCTCCCCTTGCCCCGCTGCAGTATTAATTACCCCTTCTAATTGCACTCTGCAGGGGGGACCCAACAGTATTCGTTGCTCTCTGGTGTTGCTACTCCTGGATTTACCCACAGCCTTACTCCTGGGTTTACCCCCTGCCCCGAGGGTGGCTCAGGACTCCTCCAAAGCCCCAAAAACCCCCACAGCAAACCTGAGCAGCAAGGAAATAACCAAAGCAGCCCCGAGTTGTTCCTCCTCTATCTCACTCCCCCTCCTCTTTGTTCTTCCTCCTCCCGGAGCCTGTTCGACTGTGTGGAACTTAAAGCCATGGAATTCAAAAAGCAAAACCTATAGATGTATATAGATAGATCTCTATATATTGCAGATACACAAGTTGTTTGTATCCAGGACATAAACCTGGGTGTGAAACGGCTCTGAGTGGCACGGGTGTGTTATTGCTCTTCCTTGGGCTGGTGGAAGGTGCAGGGGGGTGATGGAATTGGGGGTGGGAGGCTGCAGGGGAGGACATAAACCTGGGTGTGAAACGGCTCCGAGTGGCACGGGTGTGTTATTTCTCTTCCTTGGGCTGGTGGAAGGTGCAAGGGGGGTGATGGAATTGGGGGGGGGCTGCAGGGCAGGGCCAGGCTCTGAAGGATGCTCTGCCAGGGACCCTGTGGGCAGCCCCTCGGTGCAGGATGGGGCCCTCTGCAGCTCAAGCAGCCAGGGATGGCAAAAAATGTAGGAAAAAGTAAAGAAAATGAAGGTGGGAGAGAGAGGGGCTGGGTGGGGGGATGCTCGGGGTGCTGGAGGGGGGCAGGGTGCAGTGGTGCTGGCAGTGGCACCTGGTTGGGTTGCCCAGGCAAGGGGTGAGGTGTGAAAAACTCCCTTCCAGATATGAGAACTCCTATCCAGCTGTGAGAAACCCTTTCCAGCTGTGAGAA